GTTTTGATTGTAGCCATTCCAACAGGTGTGAGGTGATATCTCATTATAGTTTTGATTTGCATTTCCCTGATAATGTGTACTGTTGAGCATCTCTTCAAGTGTTTGTTGGCCCTCTGTATATCTTCTTTGGAGAAATATCTTCATGTCATATGTCCATTTTTAATTGGATTATTTGGGGGGGTTGGTATTAAGTTGCATAAATTCCTTATATGTTTTGGATGTTAACCCCTTATCAGATATGTCATTTGCAAATATCTGATCCCATTCAATAGGTTGTGTTTTTGTTTTGTTGATTGTTTCTTTTGCTGTGTAGAAGCCTTTTATTTTGATGTAGTCCTAATGGTTTATTTTTGCATGGTTTTCCCTTGCCTTAGGAGTCATCGCTACAAAAACTTTGCTACATCTGATGTCAAAGAAATTACTGCCTGTATTCTCTTCTAGGATTTTTATGGTTTAGGTCTCATATTTAGGTCTTTAATCCATTTTGAATTTATTTTTGTGTAGGATGTAAGAAAGTGGTCCAGTTTCCTTCTTTTGCATGTAGCTGCCCAGTTTTCCCAGCACCTTTCGTTGAAAAGATTATCTTTTTCCCTTTACGTATTCTTGCCTCCTTTGCTGAAGATTAATTGATCATAGAAGTGTAGGTTTATTTTTGGGCTCTCTATTGTGTTCCATTGATGTATGTGTCTATTTTTGTGCCAGTACCATACTGTTTTGATTCCTACAGCTCTATAGTATATCTTGAAATCTTGGATTGTGTTGTGATTGCCTCCAGTTTTGTTCTTCTTTTTTCAAGATTGCTTTGGGTTATTGGGGTCTTTTGTGATTTTATACAAGTTTTAGGATTGTTTTACTCTGTATTCTTATAAAACCATCACATGACCACTATGGAAAAGAGAGGAGTTGTTAGAGGATAGCAACAGGCAACTGGTGTGGTTCACTTTGAAGGGTAGAGTCATTGCTTGGGTGGTGGGAGGCAAGCCCGAGTCCCCTCCAATCAAGGCAAGGGACAGTCGTAAAGACCAGTTGAAGGTTGATCAAGCAATGTTCATTGACTGGGACCTGCTAGTTGAAGAGCCCAGATCTGCTGGTCTTCCAGTGAACAGAAAACATGAATTAAATATAGGAGAGGATACAGCAGTTATATGGTAACTGTCATTTTGAGACTGAATGGAGAGGTTAAGGGAGGACAATGAATTGGTCTCCACTTATGGAGCCTGAGCTCCTGCTACCATGCCACTTGCTCTCTGAATAAGGCAAGTGCCCTGTTGGCTGAATTGGCGTTCAAGATGTTCCCCGTGTTTCATGCCTCTTGTTTCCGTGTCTGCACTGGGCAGGAGGAGAGCCAAAGCTGCAGTAATCAACCTGTGAACACCCCATAAGCACTGAAGAAACAATGGGTGGAATGCCAAGAGATGCCATGGAGGGAAGTTCTAGAAGTCTCAGTCTATAGGCAAACAGCAGGCCTCAGGAAGACAAACTGTTGCATGAACTCTCTCCTGTCTTTAAATGGAATTTGATGAGTTCCTCAGTCAAAGGCAGGTGTTGGAAGTTGTTCAGGGCCTGGATGCAAGAAAGGCCTGAGTCAGTCCAAGCCACCTTGTGGAGTGTGGCTGAAGTGACATCCCAGAGAGACTTCTCCCATGTCCAGAAGCTGCAGGTCAGTGTCCTGCATGGCCCATGTAGAGGACATCCTACTGACATGTGGCCCCCCCATTAAGGGACAAGGAATCTGTCTTATAATTTCTTAGGTTTTCTGGTGTGTTCTGAGGTATGTGCTGGCTAGGCTTTGGTGAACAGTTACTTTTTGAGGAACAATGGTCTAAGTGATAGTGTCCAATTTGCATAGAAATAAAGGGCTTCCAGAGAATAATTAAAAATCCCTCCTTTTCTCCCTTTCCTGTCCTCCGTTCCCACTCCATACCCAGCAGAAGCACCCAGAACTCCTCAGCTATTGAAGAATCAAAGTACATTTCTCTAATGGGGACCGGGACACAGCTCTCTTCCCCCCTCTTTTTTTTTTTTCTGACAGGAATAATTTATCTTCTTTATTTTTCTCTCATTCTATCTTTTTTTTAAATGTTTATTTTTGAGAGAGAGAGAGAGAGAGAGAGCAAGAGCTTGTGAGTGGGGGAAGGACAGAGAGAAAGGGAGACAGAAGATCCAAAGCAGGCACCATGCTGACAGCAGCAAGCCCAATGCAGGGCTCGAACTCAAACCATGAAATCATGGCCTGCTTAACTGAATGAGCCATGCAGGTGCCCCTCATTCTTTTTCTTTTTTGAGAGAATTTTAAATTTATATGCAATTGTAAGAAATGACGGAGAGACCTTGTGTTCATTTTACCCAGTTTTCCCCAAGAGTAATGTCTTACAAGACCACAGCACAATATCAAAATCAGGATATTGATATTGATACATCAGGATACAGAACATTTCCATCATCACAAGAATCCTTCAGGTTGCTCTATTACAGCCACCCCCACCTACCTTATGCTCCTCCCACCATCTGCTCTCCATTTCTGTAATCTCGTTATTTCAAGAATGTTATAGGGGCACCTGGGTGGCTCAGTCAGCTGAGCATCCGACTCTTGATTTCAGTTCAGGTTGTGATCTCAGGATTTATGAGTTCTAGGCCTTCCTTGGGCTCCGTACTAACAGTGCAGAGACTGCTTGGGATTCTCTCTCTACCCTCCCCCACACTCTCTCTCTCAATAAATAAACTTTTAAAAAATGTTATATAAATGGAATCAAGCAGTATTGATCTTTGAGATGGCTTCCTTCACTCAGCCTAGTTCTCTGGAGATTCGTTCAGGTTGTTGTATGCACAGCCAGAGTGTGTTTCCCTTATTGAAGGACATCTGGGTTGTTTTCAGTTTAGTGCTATTGTGAATAAAGCCTCTAAGAACATTCTTACATAGGTTTTTATGTAAATGCAAGTCTTCATTTCTCTGGGACAGATGCCCAGGAGTGAAATCACAGAGTCTTATCTCCCTTATGATAGGATATTGGACATATTTTCATGTGGCTATTTACCATCTGTATATCCTCCTTGGTGAAATGTTCATTGTCCATTTCTCATTGGATTGTTTGGGGGTTTTTTGGTTTTTGTTTTAAAGTTTATTATTTTTTTTAGTAATCTCTACACCCAGCGTGGGGCTCAAACTCAAGACCCCAAGAGCAAGTCACACACTCTTCCAACTGAGCCAGCCAGGTACGCTGGATTGTTTGTTTTTTACTGTTGAGTTCAGCTCTCCAGTTTTATAATATGGATGTATGGAAGATTGCAGTATGGAGGCTGGAGAAGTCCTTAAATTAACCCATTAATCCTGTTGGGTTTTGTGCATTCCCTAGATCTTTTAGCCATGGATTAGCAAATTGGGGTGGGAGGGTGGGGGGCACAAGCATTTGAATCTTTGTTTTCTTCTCTGAATGGGGTGGGGGTTGCCTGCAAGAATGGAGCCTTTCCTGTGTGTATTTACAGTGGCTAAGAAACAGGGACAAACGTCTTACCTCCAACCTAGTCTCTGAGGGAAGGAAACTAGGGAAGGGGGAAATTTTAAGTTTCATAGTGATGGGTTCCTTGGTCTCCCTCTGTGACCACCAGACCCAATGAATCTTAAATCAGTGCTTCTTAGATTTCCATGTGCATGTGAATCAACTGAAGATGTTAAGATGCAGATTCTGATCCAATAGGCTTGGGAAACATACAGAGATTCCACATGTCTCACCAGCTCCACATAATGTGATGCCCCTGCTTTCTGGCCCACGTTTAAGTAGGAAGGGTCTGAAGACCATGGGAACCATTGAGTCCCTCCCTCTCACAGAGAAGGAAACTGAAACCCAGGTGAGTTAAGCAGTTTAGCCAAAGTCACCCACAGTGCCTACAACCAGCCCCTCACTGCCCTCATCACTCGTAGCACCCCATAAACCCCACCACCTACTTAGGGGAAATGACATTCTTCTCAGGAAGCAGTCAGAAAATCCTGCTCTAGTATACATTTAATGAGCTAATGCAATTCCCTCCCAGAGATTTCTGCAGTTTTAGTCTTATCTTAAATGGTTTTCATCCACTAAACAGATTCCAGGCTCTATCAATATCAATGAGCACCTATTTCATAAATTGAGTATCATCAAACCAGCAGACTAAAAAACTTTCAGGTCTCTGAGAGTGACATGCTATTAATCTGGTTACCAGCTGTTAGGGGTTGAATTGAGTCTTCCTAAAACTCCCATGTTGAAGTCTTATCCCCCAGCACCTCGGAATGTGACTGTATTTGGACATAGGGCCTTTAAAGAGGTAATTAAGTTTAAATGAGATCATATGGGTATGCCCTGATCCAATGTGACTGTTGTCCTTGCAAGAAGAGATTAGGACACAGACACGCATGATAGAGAGGTGATGTGAACACACAGGGAGATGATAGCCATCTACAAGTCAAGGAGAGAGGTCTCAGGAGAAACAAGCTTGCCAGCACCTTGATCTTGGACTTCCAGCCTCCACACCTGTGAGAAATACATTTACATTGTTTAAGCCCCACAACCTGTCGTACTTTGTTATGGTAGCAGCAAACGAACACCCCAGCTATTAGGATAGAGATGAGAGGTAACAAAAAGTCCTCAGCATGTTCTACAGAAAAGTGTCTTGGAGGGTGGCTGTCTCTCAGCAGCAGAGCCAAGTTGCAGATCCTAGTTTCTGGGAAGATGCAGGCCGGGCAAAGCAGAATTTCCATTCTCCAAATTGCATACCCTTCCCCAGTGAGAGATCTCTTTGTGCTCCTTCTAATTAGGCTCATTCAAAAGGAAGAAGCGTTATTGACAGCAGCCAAAAGGTGGAAACAACCCAAATGACCATCAACGGATGACTGGATAAGCAAACGTGAATGTACATACAATGGAATATTATTCAGCCTTAAAAAAGAATGAAATTCTGACACGTGCTACAACATGAATGGACCTTGAAAACATCACGCTAAGTGAAATAAGCCCATCATGGAAGAACAAGTATTGTATGATTCCACTAATAGGAGGTACCCAGTGTACCTCATAGTTACAGAGACGGGAAATAGAGTAGGGCTTAATGGGAGGTGGGAGATACTGTGCAATGGACACAGAGTTCGTGTTTGGGATGATGCAAAAATTTCAGGTACAGACAGTAGTAATGGTTACATAATATTATGAATGTATTTAATGTCACTAAACTGAACACTCAAAATTAATATTTTTTAAAATTTTTTAAGGTTTTATTTATTTCTGAGAGAGAGAGAGAGAGCAGGGGAGGGTCAGAGAGAGAGGGAGACACAGAATCTGAAGCAGGCTCCAGGCTCTGAGCTGTCAGCACGGAGCCCGACGTGGGGCTCGAACCCACGAACCGGGAGATCATGACCTGAGCTGAAGTCGGACACTTAACTGACTGAGCCACCCAGGCACCCCTTGAAGTATCATTTTGAAAGGGGAAATCAGGACTCTTTTACAAATATAAAGTGCTTGCATGTGAAAGCGTTTATTTAACTCATTAATTAATGACAGACCCACTAAGATGTTAACACCAGATCAAATAAGATTTAGACTTAGAGATTTATGTTCTCTGCTGGACAAATCCATTTTGCATTACTGTGGACAGGACTCCTTGGCATCACTACAGACAGGAAGCATTGGCATGACTGAATTTTCTCCAAATTTACTCATACCTCTACAGAGTTGTAGATTAGTCCAATCAAAGACTATCAGATCTGATACTGTCAGATCAGATACCTGGCCGGGCTGGGGGACAATACCCCAGCATTTCATTGGAGGAAAACGAATAGTCTTTTTTGCCCATTTCCAAATCTTTGGCAATTTTCCCCCCATAGCATTTTGCAGTGTATGAGCGTGTGTGCCCATGGGGCTCTCGAGTTCTCATCCAACTTCGTGGGTCAGGCATGGATGGGAAGGAACCTGCCACTAAATCCCTGACTGTATCTGAACTTGGCCCCCTGTGGGTCTGCTCCAACTTGTCTTTCCTGAACTGAGCTGAAATCACTTTTACCAGTATTGAAACATGTATTAAATTGAGAGCCCATTATATGTTAGTCTTTATGGTAAGAGATAAGATAGATTTTTAAAAATCTAATGGGATAACATCCAGGAAAGCAGATAATTAGCAAACAATCTGAGAAGTGCCTTGACTGAACATGGCATTCTAATGTCCCCATCTTCTACAAGCTAGTTGCTTTGCCCTGATGCCCCGTTGCTATAGGTTCCAAAAGAGCATATTTATGAGTTTCCCCAAGCGTATCTTGTGTGCCAGGAGTGACTTGTTCAGACAAGCCATACCACATAGGCTGAGTCTTCCCAGTCTTGGCTTAATATTATCACTCATAGGTATGTCAGTTAATATGCTTTTGGGAAAATCTGGGTTTGATTTGGAAAGAGAAGAGAGTGGAGCGACATGGTAGATGTTATGGGTTAATTGTGTCTTCAAAAAAAAAAAAAAAGTCAAAGTCAAAGCCCTAACCCCCAATACCTCAGAATGTGACCTTATTCAGAAATAGGGTTGTAGACGTTGTAATTAGTTAAGCTGAGGTCATACTGGAGTAGGATGGGCCCTGAACCAATATGACAGGTGTCCTCGCCAGAAGGGAAAAGAGAGGAGACACACAAGGGAAGGCCGTGTGATGGCAGGGCAGAGGCTGAAGCAATGTGGCTGCAAGTCGAGGAGCACCGAGACGGCCAGCCCGCCATGAGACGCAGGGAGAGGAAGGGTCTTCTCCCGCAGGCCCCAGGGAGGGCACGGCCCCGTCGTCACCTTGCCCTCAGACTTTAGCCTCTAGAACTGCGTGAGAGCAAATTTCTGCTGTTTTATGCCACCTGGTTGGTGGGAATTTGTCCTGGCAGCCCTAGAAAACTCATACAGTAGGCACCCAATAATGTCCCATATTTGGGAAATGTGCTCCTTTAGTGGGGACAGAATTGAAATTAAAATATCCATCTAAAGGAGCTCTGGAGCCTCCACTTCCTCAGCATAATTTGGCTTTAAACCAGATGATGGACACATAATAGCCATTTTCAGGAGGTGACTCTCTTAACCACCCTTCAAAGTGATTCTGATAATTTTTAGTTTCTGTTCTATTGAAATGTGGATTCAGACCCACGATGCCTTTATCACACCAAATACCTTTGACCTGAGGGCTCTGGCTGAAAGTGTGGGATTCTGAGGGAGACAGATGCCAACTAAGCCATTAACCCGCTCTGACCATCCCAGCTGGGGCTGGGTTCTGGGGCAGTGTGATGACAGCTTTCATGAAGAAGACTTACCCATGCCACCTGCCACCATTGACAATGGGGATATTCCAGGGGACAGGAATAGGTTTTGGGATTTTTTTTGTTTTGTTTTTGGGGGGGAATTTTGGAATTTTTTCAAGACAGGAAGCAGCAAAATCTGCTATTCTCTGGAAATTGCTATCTGGACTGACAACATAGAAATGCTTTCAATCTGTCCATTACTTCATGCCAAGCCTCTGAGGTTTGACTGTCTTAACCTCTCACTCCTTGAAACTCTTGGCACTCAGTGTGGTTCCCAGACCAGCAACATCAGCATCACCTGAGAACTTGTCAGAAATGCAGATGCATAAGGTCCTGATCTGGACCTGCTGCATCAGAAACTCTGCTGGTGGGATCCAGCAGTCTCAGTTTCCAGTAGTCCATCAGGGAGATTCTGATGCCCACAAATATCTGAGAACAAAACCCGAATCTGTGGCCGTCTGTGGCAATGTATTGTCTTTTTTTTAAATTTTTTTTATTTTTTTAATTTTTTTACAAATAGTTTATTGTCAAATTAGTTTCCACATAACACCCAGTGCTCATCCCCACGAGTGCCCTCCTCCATGCCCATCCCTCCTCCCCCCCACATCCATCAGTCCTCAGTTTTTGTCAGCATTCAAGAGTCTCTCATGGTTTGCCTCTCTCCCTTTCCCCCACCATTTCCCCCCTTCTTCTCCCGGTTGGTCCTCTGTTAAGTTCCTCCTAGTCCTCCTATACGTGCAAACAGAGCGAAATAAGTCAGGCAGAGAAGGGCAATGTATTGTCTTGAGGCACTGGCCAGCCTTTTCAGTCGCCTCTTCACCATGTCCTATTATGGCTCATTCCTCCTTTATCTCCCTGCTCGTACGTGGGTGTGTATGTCAGCATGCACATACACATCAGCAGATGTCCAGGAAAGGGTATGCTATGGTCAGTTAGGGAAGTGGATCTACAGTTAAGCTCCTTCTTAAGGTTGTAAGGAACGAAGATCCTTTCAGATTTTTTCAGGTGGCTGCATTTATTGTAAAGAAACAATGAGAATGAACATCTCTTACTACAACAGTCAGGAGAAATTGCTGAAGTGGAATCGCATATAATTTGTAGGTCTGTGGCTAATAGTGAAGTTGAACACTTCTTCATATTTTTCCTGACATTTTTTTGTTAATTTCATTATATATTCTAGGTAAGATGTCGATAAACTTTACCGCAAAGGACCCAGAGAATAAACGTTTTAGGATCGCAGGCCATATGTTCTCTGCTGCAGCAGCTCAACTCTGCTGTTCAAGCATGTCGCAGCCGTGACAGTGCGTAAATGCATGAGCAGGGCTGTGTTCCAATAAAACTTAAACTAAAAGGCCAGATCTTGCCTGTAAGCCGTGGTCTGCCAACCTGTGTTCTAGATACCACTTCTTGTTGGATTTTGACATTATAGTTATCATATCCTCCCTCTGTGGGGGTCCTCTGTTGACCACAACCATTTCATTCTGATGGGTTCACATTTATCAGTTTTTCCCCCTTATAGTTGGTGCTTTTAGAATTTATTTAAGTTCTTCCCAACCTCAAGATGACAAAATTATCTGACAGTTATTTGTATTGGTTTTACATTTTTTTCTTTTCACATTTAGATTTTGGATTATACAGAATAGACCTTTGTGTATAGTTTATTTTCCTCCATTTTTCCCCCAACATCATCTGATAAATAATCTATCCTTTCCCCACAGGTTTGTGGTATCAACTATCATATATTCATGCCCAGGTGTAAATGGACCTGCTTTTGAGCATCTTATTCTGCTTCACTCGCTTGTTTACCTGTTCCTCTGCCAACAGCACATTGTTTTTATTACTATGGCTTTGTAGTGTGTCTTCTTATCTCATGGTGTGACTCTTTTCACATTTCCTTTCAAAAGCCTGTGCATCCATATTTATTTCAATGATGCAGACTTCATAAGTTTTCGACTGCCGTTTACAGGACAAAGCACAGAATATCAAGTCAGGCAAGCTCTAAGTGGTAATTCTCTACTTAACAGTGTTTAACTACTATTTCCTTTTTTAATATTTTAGTTTTTAATGTTTTATTATTTTTTATTATTGAGAGCATGAGCAGGAGAGGGCAGAGAGAGAGGGAGACACAGAACCCGAAGCCGACTTCAGGTTCTGAGCTGTCAGCACACAGCCTGATGTGGGGTTCGAACTCATGAGCCGTGAGATCATTACCTGAGCTGAAGTCAGAGGCTTATCTGACTAAGCCAACCAGGTTGGCTCAAAATATTTTATTTTTAAGTAATTTCTATACCCAATGAGAACTCATAACCCCAAGATCAAGTGTCACGTACTTCACCAACCGAGCCAGCCATGTGCCCGTTAGCTACTATTTCTTGACTACCTGCTAAATGAAGACTCTTGGCTTCAAGAGCCAAAAACTCCCCTCAAACAACATTAATTTAGAAAATATATACACATTGGCTGGAAATGTGTACATACATACCTGGAAAGTCTAATGAATGACTTTATTAGATCTAAGAATTCAAGCAATATCATTAAGTCTCTCTCTTTCCCTCGCTCTGTTTCTTATCTCTGTTTTTTTCTGTTGCTTGTGTTCTCAAGCAGTATCTCTCCCCAAAGTAGCCTGGATGGTAATACTGTCAAGTTTACAGTATCCTTACTGCTCTGGATATCAGGAGAGGAGATCCCTTAGTCACTGAACATTCCTTCCCACACCTCCTCTCCCCACACACCTCCCAAGGACTCCGATTGGGTCACATGCCCTCATCTGGATCAATCACGGTGGCAGAGAAAATGTCATGTGAATGACAACCCCGCTAACTACCAGAGGGGCATTCCCAAAAGGAAAGGGACTGGGCAGACTGAACACCCAGAGTCCACTTCACCTGAAAAAGCCAAGGCGGAATTAGCAGCAGTTCAGGGGATGCGGGAGCTGGCTCCCTTTCCACTGTGCCGCACTGCCATCGGATCATGCCATTGTTACTTCAAACCTGCCATGGCACAAAGTAGGCTCATCGTTTTTCCTAAAATCATGTTCAAAGTTCGAAGTCTCCAAAAATAACTGCCATTTTCCTGGGTCTCCTAGCTGTGAAAATGGCCTCCTTTTCCATTGATTCAGCCTTTTTCTTTTACCCTTTGTCAGTCTCTTCCCTCTTTCAGTTCCTTCTGTTACCCACTGTGTACACACCTGTTCATCTGACCTGTGAGCCACTGCACTATCTGTTCCTCACCTCAGTCCAGCCTGTGTACAGCTACACATTAAACTCCCCAAAGTATAGTAAGGGTTGTATTTTTAAAGAAAATTTATTATTTTTCTTTTTGCTTAAGATGTGTTTCAATATGTATCACAGTAATGCAGCATAGCAGAGCACTCCAAATCTCAGGGGCTTAAAAAACAATGGATATTTATTATTGGCCGGTGTGTCGTGTCGGTTGAGGATCGGCCAGCCTGGGCTGGGGCAGCTTGGTTTCTCCCTGGGTGTGTGTGTGGGCGGGGGGGGTGCAGCCCGGCTCCGTGGGTCTCTCCTTCTCCACTACCGTGTGCTTTTCAGGGCTGCTTCTCTGACAGCGATGGCAACAGTGCAAAGGGCAACCAGAAGCATGCGAGGCCTCTCAAGGCCTGGAGCTTCAACAGACATGGAGTCAAGCTCAAAGTCAAGGGGCAAGGGGACTGCACCCTGTGCAGAGTGAGCCGATGGAAGGCTGCGGAAGCAGAGAAGGTGGAAGAATTGGAGTCATCAACTCAATCCACCATTAGGGTCCATCTAAACTCCACTACCTGGATTTCAAAGTCTATTGTCTGGACTTGCTCCATTCATCCAACCCAACCCCCGACTTTGGGCTATTCATTTGGGACACAATTCATGGACCTTAGGAATCTTCCAGAAGCTGGACAATATTGGGCAATTCCAGACAGCAAACCATATTTCAACTGCAGGCCAAATTTAGCTTACTTCTGCTTTCCCATCACACAAAAAAGAGGGGGCAGTTTTATGGGCCCACTTGTTATTGGTAGTGTTTATAAAATAAACAAATGTTAAACAATTTTTCCTCTAGAAATACACTAAGCCAGAGATCTTCTTTATGATCTTTTTTTTTTTTTTCCAGTGCTTTGGGGGAAAAAAATCCCCAGGAATTATTTTCTCAATAAACAATGGCAACAGTTTATTTTTGTTGGATTGGCTTGAATCCTCCCCTACGTTCTTTTTTTGGATGAAGTGGTTGACTACAGAAATGAGAAAGATATTTTTTTCTATTCTTTTTTTTTTTTTTGTATGTGGTTTCTCTGGCTGGAAAATAAAAGCTCTGCATTCTTTCTGTATTCAGTGTACTTCAAAGTTATAAAAATTTAGATAAAGTACATCAGGGTTATGGTTGTTCTAGATTTCAGTCTATTTATAACTTCCTCATATTTCACATTTGTTTGACCTCGGGGTTAAAGGGATGCTTTTGAAAAGTATAATGATTTGATCCTAGCAACGGATATAGCAAAGATACCGGGGTCAATAAGTTAAATTAAAAGGCTTAAAATAAAAAGAAGAAAAAGAAGAAGAAAAAGAAGAAGAAAAAACTAGATTTGGCAAACTTTAAGTTTGGGACTGCATGACAATAGAAGAATTTCCCAGCTGTGTTCTCATAAAAGAATAATGATGTGAAAAATATTTTTCAAAGCTTACCAGTAAAAAAGTTTGGACCAGAAGAAACTAATTTCCTAATACTCTCATTTTCACAGCTTACATAGGGATTTTCCCTGGATTTGTCTTTAGCACCTTTACATATGTGCTTTGTTTATTTTCTTTTCCACAAAAGTCTGAATAATGCCAAATGACTGGAGTTTTACAATATTAAATATATGTTTCAGTAATTTGCTGAGAGGAAAAAAGCAAGTTTCAAAACTGTATATATATATATATATATGTGATTTTTTTAAAATATATGTATGAATGCGTGTATTTATAACTATTTAGAGAGAGACACATACACACATACACAGACAAATGTGTAAGAACATGTCTATGAGGATGGGGCGCCTGGGTGGCTCGGTCGGTATAGTGTCCAGTTTTGGCTCAGGTCATGATCTTGCACTTCGTGAGTTCCAACCCCACATTGGGCTCTGTGCTGACAGCTCAGAGCCCAGAGCCTGCTTTAGATTCTGTGTTTCCCTCTCTCTCTGTTCCTCCCCCACTCATACTCTGTATCTCTCTTTCTCTCTCAAAATAAATAAACTTAAATAAAATAGAACATTAAAAAAAAAGGAACCTGTCTATTAGGAGGATATCAAAATACTAACAGTTACTCCCTCCATGCCCCTATTTATTTTTGTATGTTTCAGTTTGTCTGTAATGAACATATATTATCACCTATATGATACTAAGTGGGATTTTTAGAAAAGAGAATAAATTTTAAAAAAATTGTTAAGAGGGAGCACACACGTGCATGTGTAGGGAGGAACAGAGGGAGAGGTAGGAAGGAGAATCCCAAGCAGGCTCCCCACCCAGCACAGAGCACGATGTAGGGCTTGATCTCACAACCCTGCGATCATGACTTGAGCAGAAATCAAGAGTGGGTAGCTTAACCAACTGAGCCACCCAGGGCCCCAAAAAGGAGAACAAATATTTAACAATCGGCCTTTTCACCTGAGGAATTGTTTCTTTTTAAAAAATTATTTTATTGGGGCTCCTGGGTGCCTCAGTCGGTTAAGCATCTGACTTCGGCTCAGGTCAGGATCTCAGGGTTCGTGGGTTCGAGCCCCGCATCGGGCTCTGTGCTGACAGCTCAGAGCCTGGAACCTGCTTTGGATTCTGTGTCTCCCTCTCTCTCTGACCCTCCCTGCTCACGTTGTCTCTCTCTCTCTCAGAAATAAATAAAACATTAACAAAATTATTATGTTTTTAATGTTTAATTTATTTCTGAGAGAGAGAGAGTGCCTGCGTGTGGACCAAGCAGGAGGAGGGGCAGAGGGGGGGAGAGAGAACATGGCATCCTTGTTGTGGCCTCAGGTGGGGCCGTGTTAGGGCTCAAGCCCACGACCCTGGGATCAAGACTTGAGCCAAAATCAAGAGTCAGACACTCAACCAACTGAGCCACCAAGGTGTCCCTTCCCTGAGGAATTCTAAAAGTCCTCTAACTGTAGGGAAACTGATGACCAAACCTTCCATAGGGAGCTTATTTGAACGATGGAAACCGCGTGGCTAGCATTATAGTTTCATTAGGCAGAAAATCAGATGGGAAAGGATGAGTTTGGATTCTACCGACTGCCTTCCTCACCCGGCTGGTCCTAACACGCCCCTAGAGAGGCATGCTGTGTGCAGGAGAGTCTGAGCCTGTGTATCAGCATTTCGTGTGCAACTCCTGCAGCCTCGGGGAAGCTGTCCCTAGACCAAGGGGTCAGGCAGATGTTGCTAAGTGAGATACTAACTTCTGTTTAGGAAGTGTTCTCGTGCAGTAATCCTTTACTGTGCTGTTATGGATAAGATTAGATACTAACAATATGCGTAGGTTTAGAATTTGGCAGATGGCGTTTTACTTCTTATATATAAAAGGAATTACAGATCTAATTTAAATTAATGTCTCTTTGTGTTTCCAAATGTAGTCTTAAAATTTAGATATCTGAGGATGGAAATTATGAACGTTTATGAACAAGGCAAGCCCACAACCGGTTTGGAGAACGTGCTGAGTGTTAGCTCCCGTAGCTGTTGCTGGGAATGAAGAAATAGACTTTGCATTCAGGGATTTGTGTTTTTCATTGCAACAAGTTCAAGATTTGCTTTGTCCTTTTGTTTTAAATCTTAGAACAACAAATAAAAGTTAAGAAGAGTGACTAGAGAATCTCAGCCACATGAACAATTATAAACAAAGGGTCCAATTTGTTAGATGGACCATTTTGGCATCCTGGATCAAGGCTATTGTGGGCAGGGGCACAAAGGGTTAGTAAATGGGGATTAAGGAACAGCTCAGAGCAATTAGATCATAGAAAGTCCTAAATGCCTACTTTATCAGGATGAATCCAAGTTTGGCTCCTATTGCTAAAGGAAAAAATAAAAAGCGACGCACATGTTACTTACAAGCAAACCCGAGGGCATGCCATCTATTATCAGCAATAAACAGATTTGATTCTTTTGTAAGTGAGATTGTCAGGGCCCGGGGGATTTGTCAGCGCCCAGATAATCCTCAAATCATCTGCCTGGCCTACCATGGTAATAGGAAATTGTCAGTAATAAGGCTGGTTAACAGTCTTCTTGTCTGGTGCATTAAAGATTATTCCACAAAACCTAGAGGGTCTTAGCCAACCAGGCTTCATTATATGGTTCAAGGTTACAAGTCCACAGAAGCTGTGAAGACTGTCACCTGTACAAGTCGCTAGGCCCTCACTCTGCACAGCACAGGCTGGGACTCAAAGAGGTTTTTCGGGGTTTTTGTTTTGTTTTTTTGTAATGTTTTATTATTTTCAGAGAGAGAGAGAGAGTGTGTGTGTGTGTGTGTGTGAGCAGGAGAGGAGCAGAGAGAGAGGGAGACACAGAATCCAAAGCATCTCCAGGCTCTGAGTTGTCCACACAGAGCCCGATGAGGGGCTTGAACTCACAAGCTGTGAGATCATGACCTGAGCTGAAATCAGACGCTTAAGTGACTGAGCCACCCAGGCACCCCAAGACCCAGGGAGTTTTTAATGCAATATGGGATATGAAACAGAGAACTCGGTGGCCACGGGAATGTCAAAGTGTACACAGCCTCCCACACTCCACATACGAAGATGGAGTGGGTGCGAGGCCAACTTGGGGACCCACAGCTTCATGAAGGTCACACTGTGGTTTCCTGTTTCTCCTTTTTGCCTTATTGTTCATATGGTTCAAATTTAGTGTTTTGAGTAAGTAATACATACCCATGGTTCAAAAAAGTTTTATTTATTATTTATTTATTTATTTATTTATTTATTATTAACTAAGCACTATGCTTAATATGGGGCTTGAACTCATGACCCTGAGCTCAAGAGTTGCATGTTCTATAGACTGAACCAGTCTGGTGCCCCTCAAAATTTTTTTTAACTGCAAGAAGGATATAATGAAAAGCTTTCCCCATCCCTCTTCTACTTGCTCTGTTCCCACCTCCCTCAACAGGTAACCCCAGTCATCATCAGCAGCATTTTATCCTTTCAGAGCTTTTAAATAATTGATTACAAGAAAATATGAAACATATACTTTTATGCTGTTTTAATACAAAATACAGTTGTTCTGGGCCTTGTCTTTTTTTTCCCCTAACAACGTAGCTTCTATTATACATAAGAAAATATCTTCTATATTAGTACATGGAAATAGTCCTTAATCTTTTTATGGTTGGATATACTCTTCTGTCGTTTCATGTACCATACTTCAAAAACTTGTGTCCTGTTGGGGCGCCTGGGTGGCTCAGTCTGATTCCTGATTTCCACTCAGGTCGTGATCTCTCTGCCCCTCCCCTGTGCTCTCTCTCTCTCTCAAAATAAATAAACATTAAACTTTATAAAAAAAAAAAGTTGGTCCCCTGTTGATGGACATTTAGATCCATGCCCCCCCCATAATAAACAATGATGCAGTAACTTTACACATAAATTCTTTCACATGATATGATTACTTTTCATAGGGCTGCCTGGTAGTGGCCAAGACAGAGCCTTCTCCCCCTGACTCTGTAAGTTAATAACCAGAAATTCCTAATAGATTCTTACAGTAGGCAAACATCCTCTTTTATTTCCCCAATACATGAAGGGCTAGCCACAGGATTAATTTTGAAGACTGGCTAACATTCCTGTGCTCCCCCAGCCCTCACCCTTATTCTTTACATGACTACTTCTTAATTTCTTCCTATTACTCAAACTAATAATCTGGGACTGCTTGCTCTCTCTTTCTTTTTAAAAGATCTCATCATTTAAGATGTTATATTTAAAAATTTTTAAAAGTAATCTCTACCCCCAATGTCGGGCTCAAGCCCACAACCCCCAGATCAAGAGTCACATGCTATCCCAACTGAGCCTGTCAGGTGCCCCTTTAGTCTGATCATTTTAAACTGCCTTTGGGGTTGCTATCAGCAATCATTTATTTCCTCTGAGAAGTAGGAGAAAGTGGTGCTGAATGACTTCTTATATCATCTTACAAGTCAACTTCTCAGT